TCCTCCTCCTCCTCCCCTTCCTCCTAATCGTCATCGTGACATCCTCCTCGTCCTTCTCTTTCCCCCGCACGACGATGAGGAGGAAGAGGAGAACTTCAAGGAAGAGGAAGAGGAAGAGGAAGAGGAAGAGGAAGAGGAAGAGGAGGAGGAGGAAGAGGAGTGGGAGGAAAATGAGGAAGAAGAGGGGGGGGAGGAGGTGAAGGAGGAGGAGAAGGAAGAAGAAGAGGAGGCCAGCATGGAGGCTCACCTTGATGGCGACGACGGAGGAGGAGGCGGCTCCTGGCGAGGCTCTAGCGACGGCGGCGATGGCTCAAGCAGCAGAACAATGGGGCAACGAGACGTAAGTGTCAACACGCGGGGGGGAACGGGCAGCAAGCAGCACAACGACGGGGCAGAGGGCCGTTGCTGGGGAGGTAGGGGGTTTTGGACCATTACCCGCGCGCAGTCCCAAGCCGGCTGCCGCAGTTTCAAATTAAAAAATGGCCCGATCTGGGCCGTCAATCTTAACGGATCGACGGCCCAGATCGGGCCGTTGTTTTTTCGAATTTGGTAGGGCCCCTACCGGATCCGCCACCGCGACAGGGTCCCAGGGGTTGATCAAAACCCCTAGACACCCCTAAACCCTTGTAAGAGGCCCTGCGCCTATTTTGCGCAGGGCCCAGAAGTTTTATTTCCGGGTTCTTCCGGGGTTCTACTTCCGGTCGGATGAACCGGATGGTCCAGGGCCATCCGGATATCCGAAAAAAAAATTAGAAATTTTGTGATGTTCTGGTTCTTATAAATCGATATGCATTTGCTAACTGGAAATTTGGTTAAAAAAACGTGCTTCGCGCTCGCCTCATGACAGAGTTCTCGTGAACGTTTTGTTTTCTTGCATTTTTTGCAACGTTTTTGGTCATGTGGAATGACGATGCTCCAATTGCGCTTGAAACACACATTTCTTGAACTCTAGATAGAATTCATGCAAACCCAACATTTTATTTTCTCTGTTTTTCACGAATCCTGTGTTCGCTCCTTTTCTTTTCTTCTTTCTTCTTTTTGTCCTTCTGCTCCGGCCTCTCCCTGTCTTTCTTCACGAATGTCATCCTTCTTCTCCTTCTCTTTCTTTTACGTCTTCATGTTATTCTTCTTCTCTTTAACACTTCCGTTTCATCCTCCTCATCTCTCACCTTATGTTTTGTCTGTCTAGTTGCATCACGTCTCCCTACCCTCTACATTTTATGTTTTGTCTGTCTAGTTGCATCACGTCCCCCTACCCTCTACCGACATCGCTCCACTACTCACAAAATGTGCAAAATGAGATTGAATCCTCCACGAAAACATAAAAAGGTACAATGTCATATTTTTTGTCTTTTGAACATGTCTAGAGTAGTGAAGCTTTGTTGACCTCGCCCTCAATTTCTTTCGAAAAAGGCACTCCGCGCTCACTGCGGGGAGAGTTTGCAGATGTCCTGAACAAGGCACCACATCATGCACATGAGCACTCCCAAACTCCACATGCATTTGGTTTCTTTTATGGACTACATGCATCTCCCTATCCTTGCCTGACTGCCAATAATTGAAGAAAAACGGACCCTATCCTTGCCCGACCTTCGTGCGCCCATAATAATTGAAGAAAAACTGAAGGTGTTCCCTCCGCTGCACAAAACTCTGCATGTGCTATGACACTTTTCTGGACCGCATACATTGAAAGCCTCCAAATAAGTGTTGAGTGTTGCATAGTGGCATGCCCCCCAATGATATGCAGAAACATGAGGAATAAAATGCCCTTCTAAGAAAACGGTTTGACCACTCCCCCTTTTGCACCTCTATCTTCGCTAACTCCAGGCTGCTCCTCCGCGCTGTGCGCAGTACACAGTATAAGCCATATTATCTGGAAGGATGCCATAAAGGGGCGGATCGAGGAGCAACAACTAGGCTTAAACCACCAGTACTTGGCCCATACATCGGCCGCGGCCCCTTAGCGTTAACGCTACGGGTTTTCCGGGCTTCCGAGAAGGCCCGGTAGTGCTATGGAGGAAGAAGTCATTGGGCCCAAGGAAAATCACAAATGGAATGTAGTCTGTCCCCTTGGTTTATACCGTGCGTGTGGAAACAATGCACAGACGCAGTATAGGCCACACAAAAAAAACAAAACAAAAAAAACAAATGAAAACGAGACAACTGCAGGAAAAAAAAAGAAGAAAAAAAAAACGAAGTCGTACCCGCCACTTGGCGGCCAAAAGGAGTGAGATAAGGCCCTTGAGTGTTTTCAGAGCGCCGCCTCTCACGGCGGGCAGGCGGGCAGACGAAGGGCCAGGTCGGTTGGGTCTCTCTACACTACTACAGGACTGCTAAAAAACCGAAAATGTATCTTTCCATGTTCCATAGGAGGGTTCAGTCTCATGCCTGCACGTTTGGAGAGTTGCCACAGAGCTCTTCCTTCTGCCCGCCGTGGGAGGCGGGCCTCTGACAGCGCTGAGGGAGCTTTGAATCCTTTTTGCTCTTTTCAGTCTTTTTTTTCCTTTGTCTCTGGGAGAAGATTTGGTCCGACTTGTGCAAAATAAGACTGAATCGACCCCTAGAACATGGAAAGATACATTTCCATCTTTTTTGTCTTTTGGTTTACTTTTTAGACTGAATCCTCCCCTACAACATGGAAAGATACATGTGGGGAGAATGAATCATCTGCTGGAACGCGGAAAGGGGTACACCGCCATTTTTTTTAATTTGTTTTCTTTTCCGCCATTTTTTTTGTCTTCACGGGGAGCACATCAGAAAAGCTCTTCCTTCTGCCCGCCGTGAGAGGCGGGCCTCTGACAGAGCTGAGAGCACCCTTTTTGTCTTTTTGGCAGAAGTTAGTTGGCCGTTTCTCACTTCTGGCCGGCGTGGGCTAATGTACGGGTGAAAACTGCTACCCCGTTTCGTACCAGCTGCTAGTTGCAGGTCCAGCACAAGGGGCGGTACCTGTGCCAACCACAAAATGCCCCCCTACCGGTTCCCGCCCCTTCCAGGCTCGGCAAAGCTTGGCGCGCAGGCATATTTAGGCTCGGCATCAATAGCTGGGCCAAGTACTGGTGGTTTAAATGCGTTTCACTCAAGGTTTCGCGACTTTTGCTGCACAGCCTCGAAAATCAGGAACTGTAACCAATCCAGCGTTAGGGTTGCGTGGGAATGTGTTGTATTCGATGGATACCTGAAGGAACTGAAAATGTGACTGCGTTGTAGTTACCACACTTAGGGCCAGATCCCACTGGCAAAGAGGATTGGAAGAAGTGTCAGAATCTGGACGTGTTCCATCCAGAGGTGCAGAAAAGTACACCAATCACAATTTTTTGCACCTGTCCACAAACACCTCCACATTCAGACACCTACTACAATCCTCTTTGCTAGTGGGATCTCGCCCTAAGAAATCACCTACCCGAGAGTCCCCATCCTGTATGCCACCCTCCGATGCATAATCAACAGCATCCCAGAGAGCTGCTGCCTTGAGCTGCTCAAGAAGCACTTCACATGGAAGGAGAATCATGGAGTGCTCTATTTATGTAAGGGCCAGATCGCACTGGCAAGGACGATTGGAATAAGTGTCTGAATCTGGACATGTTCCACGCACAGATGCAGAAAAGCAGATCAATCACAATTTTCTGCACCTCACCACAAGCACGTCTAGATTCAGACACTCATTCCGATCCTCTTTGCCAGTGGGATCTGGCCCTAACACGCTGGAGCCCATTTCCAGTTTTCGTTATTGTTTTTAAATTTAAAAAAACAAGTGGACCTGCGAAGGACGATGGCAAAAACATTTTCCGACCTGCGAAGGACGATGGCAAAAACATTTTCCGAAACACTCCAGCCATCAGTTGGTCCCCATCTTTGCAATGCACCCGACCTGCCGCAGCTACGCTGCTGCGAAGGACGATGTCAAAAACATTTTCCAAAACACCCCAGCCATCAGTTGGTCCCCATCTTTGCAATGCACCCGTACCGGACGCTGCCCAACTTTGCAAAACGCCCCGGCAGTTGCCAAGTTTTCGTAGGTGCCATTGCAAAAGGCCAAGTGAATTTGCACACCCACCTAACCAAGGCAAAACACAAACATGTCAATCCAAAAGGGCATTCCACTCTGCCCATATCTTTTAGGGACATTTTGACATATATCTCAACTTATCAGGGCATTTGGAAAATTACACCCCCCACCCCCCCC